GAACAGAGAGGAGCCAGAATGAATTGTAACGCTCAAGCCTCTACTAAGCTACAGGGCATTAAAATTGCTTTGGAACAAACAGATCTGCCTTTCCTGTGGTTTCTGCTGGCAGGGAAGCAGAGGGAAAGACCAGGGGTCTGTCTTAAAAACAGCCTGGAGGGTGGAAGTAAGATCTAATGACACATAATCACAATCCTCCAAAAGCCCAGTAAGGCCGACACAGAGCCTGCAGTGAGTGGTACCTGCCAGGGCTGCCTCAGGGAGGATTCAGGGCACGCAGCGGAGGTGTGAGACCAAACTGCATCCCTGGCAGGGTGCCACCAGCCAGAGTACAGCTGTGGCAGGGAGGAATGGTGATGGGATGTGTGCTTGGGCTGGCCGATGGCATCTCCATGGGAAGGGGAATGGGAGGGATCATGGTTTCCGAGCCATGTTCCCCTCAGAGGGTGACAGTGCCTTGCTGCCTCCCACCGTGGGGACCGTGCTCAGGCCTCCTCTGGGGTGGCAACAAAAATGACTGTGGGATCATCTTCTGAGCCTGGTGGATAACCCAGGGCTGGCAGCTGGAAGCACTGTCCGTGCCGTGTGTTTGCTGAGCTACCTGCAGCGCTGACCCTGCTCCTTTTGCAGGAGCCTAGGGGGCTGCTTCCCTGGAGTGACTCGGGGAAAGGCCATGGAGCGTCATCGATGGAAACTCCCCATTTTAGCATCACTGGGAAGGCAAGTCTGTTGCTGGGAAATCTCACTGCTGATTTACAGGAGCTTTAATCTTGAAAGGCTTCTCTCAGTGCTTTCTGTTTCCTCTTCTACCACTTTACATCTCCTCCTCCTTCTGCCCCTGGGGGGTTCTGTGTCTGGGGTACAAGCCCCCAACATCTCCAAGAGATGGAAAAGCAGCCTGAGCATGGGGAGTGAGGACACACTGGAGACAAAGGACAATGGGACAACCAGCCGCCGCAGGAGCCAGGGAAACGGTTAAAGATTTGGGGAGTCCAGATCTGCCGCATCTTCCGTGACAATCTGGCCTCCCCAGCATCCTTGCAAATGAGAAACCGCATAAGCCTCACACTCTATTATTGCTACGGAGCATTAGAGTCTCTCATTTAGGATAAACATTCTCATCTCCAGCAGAGCATGAATAACATTAAATGAGATAGTTAAAATGTTTCAGGCCAATTATAGCCCTGGTGTAACTTCAGCAGAGTTACACCAGGGATTAATTTGATCCGGAGAGCTCTGCCTCCTGTTCTGAACTGGGATTCCAGCATGGGTAATTACATCCTGCCTCTCTGCACTTCCTCTGGAGTTTTAATTGGGTTGAATGGACCAAATCCGCAGCAAGTGTAAATCAGTGTAATTGAGCTCTCTCTGGAGAGGAACCCTGCTGATTTACACCCTCAAATCTGGGCCAGCCTCTAGCCAGCAAAGGGCAGCATGGGCTGGGGTTGGTGCAAGGAAACTGTCCTGACCCAGCACCAGCCTCCCTGCAAAGGACTACTCAACTGCTGCCACCAGATTTCCAGACTCCTACTAAGAGCTGAGAGAGCTCTGCCCTCTCTCTTTGCCATGTCAGTGCAGGTCAGGTCTGCTCTGGGGTGCAGGTGGCCCAGCATGGGTGCACAGCAGCCTGCACCCTGCTGTACCTTCTGCCAGTAAACCCACCACCCCAATCTCATGCTGGGGGGACTGGCCCTCACCTTCCAGCCTGGATCCCAGACCAGGCTCCCTGTGCAATGAGACAGGCAGCTGGACAGTCTCCCTCTTCCACTTCCCAGCCCTCTCAGTAAATCAGCGTTAATGAGGGACATTTGACCCTCTCTTTCCCTGAACAGCCTTAAGAAGCATTTTTGTTCCATGAGATAGTTAAGAAACTTGAAGCAATTTCCTCCCTGTGCTTCTACTGTTGTTTTTTGGTTGAATTTTTTTTTTTTTTGAGAAAAGCAAAAGTTATAGGACACAAGCAGCCTTTAGGATGCCTCAGAAGTGGGAGCAGAGGAGAGACAGCGGTGTCTGATACGGAGCAGACAGGCCAGTCAAGATGGGGTGACCCCAGCCCTGATCCACTTGGTCTGTCAGAGCAACCGAGGCAGGAGAGTCAGAGCTGGGAAAGTGCACTCGCTGGCTGTAATTAGGAATTTAATTGTGAGGCGTTATCTCACTGAGTTGGAGCCTATACAGAGCCATGCATCCTCCATAGCCAATTGTATACAGGGGCGACATTGGAGGGGAGGGTGCTGGGAACGGTCTTCCTCACAGATTTCCAGGACTTTCTGCTGCTGTGTGGTCTCTTTCCCTTCTCACAGAGAAATGATGGAAACAGTCAGATAAACCCCGGGGAGCTGGGCCTAGCAAGGCCCCACAGCTTTGCCCCCTCCTCCAGGCTGCATGGGACTGCTGGTCCCACTCCACCTCCACCAACCCCCAGCTGGGTATAGCCCACTCGCCGTTTCATTTCCCTTTTGTTTTTTTTCCCCAAGTGTGTTTTCATGAGGACAGAGATGGAAAGAAGAAGAGCTGAGATGTCACAATCCTTCCTTCCTCCTCAAACAAATGGCATCTCCTCAGTGGGACCGTGATGGTGGGACCGTGTCCTTCAGCCTCCTGGCCCAGAGGAGACCGTCAGTATCCCACCCCTCAGAGAGCCACCAGTGACACCGCGCCTGGTCTGTGAGGGCTGTCACTACCAATTCTGTGTTTCTTGTAAAGCAGAGGGTGGTTTTGGCCGGCAGAGAGGATGCAGTTAATGAGGTTAAGCGAATTCCCACTCCCACCCACCAAGGGCCTTCTGGGACCATCACAAATCTCAGCACAGACAGCAAACACCTCGCCTCAGCCAGCAGCCCTCAGGCAGCTACTCACTACAGGAAGGCTCACCCGCTCTTAGCTCAGCTGCTGGCTGCGGCTGATTGAGTAAATAAAGAACATTTCTCATGAAATCCACCCTCTCAGAGGTCCCCAGGCAGAGAGCTGGCCTTTCCGCAGCTCAGGAAACCTTTATCCCCCAAATCTACACCACCCCCATGCAGTCAATTCAGCAAGCGATGTTTGCACACCCGGGTTTGCAGTGCACTGACCCTGTTCCCAGCAGCTCCATGACATTTGCAGGCGCCATTTCCAGCTGGCCCATGTTGCCCTTTCTGGGGTTTTTTGCTTGCTAGTCCAGAGGGGGAGAAAGGTCAGAGTTACTGATGGTAAGTCCAGACTGAAATCTAGATTTTCCCAAAGGTCAGGATGACTGTGCCTGGGCTAACCCTGGAAATTTGGGCTCCAGTTGGCTACCCTCAGCGGGTTATGCAAGGCTCTGCTCCTAGTCTTTAAGGCTATCACAGCTGCACCATTTGCACATCTTTCTTGGGGCTCCTCTCCATCCTCTTTCTGACCTTGCAGATCCTCCTTGTTGCTCATCACTGCCCACCCAGAGCTGAACAGCCTCAGCCCTAATGTGTCCTCTGCAACTAAGCCCCTGACCTTTATTTTCCCTTAAATCAATAGAAAAAAAGCCATGCTACAGCAATACCAACATGTCAGGGGAGTCCAGGTGATTTATATCATCTAAGGAGCTGATTCTGCTTTTGAGGCTTCAGTCCTGATAAGCTTTCATCTTTCCAGCCCCCAATCTCTTCTGCACTGCCTTCAGTGCATGTACATTTTATTCATCCCCTGACCTTCCTGGCATTATTGACTCTCCATCTTGCTTTTAGTCTGCTATAAAATGAAGGCAGCTCCAGGTAAAACAGCAGTTTTATTCTTCCTGATCATAATACTTCCTTTACCAAAAAGAAGAAAAAAAACATTTAAAGTGAGCTGAGGTTGTAAAGACTTAATTAAAAATCTTCAGGGGAAAAAAAAATATTAGGAAAACTCTATAGGTGCTTGTGAAATTCTCACCGTGGAGAACCAAGCTGCTGGGAGCTCTTGTCTGTATGTCTGACCTTACCTCGGTGGCGGGGAGGTGACACTACAGCCCCAGGATGGGGAGAAGGTGCTGCCATCAGCCAGGAGCATCCTGGTCAGGAGCCACATCCCGGGCTTCTTCCCCACCATCACTGGCAGCTGCTCGCCTTCCCCCGTTGCTGTCTCCTGCTCGTGGCCACCAGTGGTGGTCAGGTCCCAGAAAGGAGCAAACAGCCCATTCTGGGTGAAAATTCATGCCAGCTGTGGTGAGGCCGGTGCATCTGTGCCCGCAGAAAGGATTCTGGGGAGGCCTCGACTGATTGGAAGTTGGCCAGTGTGACACCCATCTATAAAAAGGGTTGGAAGAATGATCTGGGAAATTACAGGCCTGGCTGCTTGACTTCGGTGCCTGAGAAGCTGATGGAACAGCTCATCCTAAACACCATCATGCAACACATGAGGGACAAGCAGATGCTCAGGCCCAGTCAGCACGGGTTTATGAAAGGCAGGTCCTGCCTGACAAACCTGATCTCCTTCTATGACAGGGTGACCTGCTGATTGGATGAGGGAAAGGCTGTGGATGTAATTTACCTTGACTTTAGCAAGGCTTTTGACACCGTTTCCCACAGCATTCTCCTGGCAAAAATGGCTGCTCAAGGTTTGGACAACCGCACACTTCGCTGGGTTAAAAACTGGCTGGACGACCGGGCCCAGAGAGTTGTGGTGAACGGAGTTAAATCCAGTTGGCGGCCGGTCACGAGTGGTATCCCCCAGGGCTCGGTGTTGGGGCCACTCCTGTTTAACATCTTTATTGATGATCTGGACGAGGGGATTGAGGGCACCCTCAGTCAGTTTGCAGATGACACCCAGCTGGGTGGGAGTGTTGATCTGTTCGAGGACAGGAGGCTCTGCAGAGAGACCTGGACAGGCTGGAGCCATGG